TGGGGATCCGCTTTTGCCGTCTTCGGCGCCACGGACCAATCCAAAATTAAGGTCCCGTCCGCCTCCATTGTGAAATTTTTGGCTGTCAAGGCCGCAATCTCGGACCAACGACTCGCCGTTATCCACGCAAGTCGTAAAACAACACGCTCTTTCCAATCGGTTCGGCTGCGTATAACTTGAGTCATCTCTTCCTTTGTCAAGGGGCGCGCCTGCTTCGTCTCCGAGCGCGCCGCAATTTTTTGTAACCCCAGAATCACCATATCCAGCGGGGTTCGATTCATTTCCATCATAGACCGCAGCATCCTGGCGTACTGCAGTCGGGTCGATGGCGCCACTTCGATTGCCATCAAAAAGGCCGCGCAGCTCTCCTCGTTCATCGGCTGTTCGTGCGTGCGGCAAAAAGTCGTGAATTGCCCCGCTAGGGACATTCTCTGCTCCCACGTTGACGGCGCCCACATTTCTCGAGCCACCTCGTTCGCTCTCCTCATATAATTGGCCCAAAGCGGAGACGCCGGCGATTCTTCGTACCACAGTCGAGCGTCGTTTACGGATAAGCTCCATTGCCCTTCCCGACGATTGCGTCGGGCAATTTGAAAGATCGGGTGGAGCGTCGGCGGTGCGGTGCAACGACTGCGCGTAATAGCCGGAGGTGACGGATTGGATGGGGCTGCCGTCGTCAGCATTCATGAGCGGCGTGCGGCAGCCCCTCTGCCGTTTTTTGACGGGCGCCTGTATTGTGAGTAATTCCCTCTGGGGCGCACGTTGCATGTAGATGCCTCGTGTCCAAAGATATGACAACGTTGGCATCTCACAGTGCGTGGGGTTTCTCGCCGATCGACGAGAAGCTGAGCTGCCCTCGCGTAAGCGTCCGTCTGGTGAACAGCGGTGTAAAGACGGGCGCGCAGTTTGGAAAGCCGGATGCGGGGATCGGATGCAATCGTGAGCTGCATCCGGAATGTATTCAGCAGGGACCTCCCCAAATGCATGAAGCGATCGGTGGGATCCTGCAGGCCTTCCAGCACGCCGATCCACTCGACCAAATTGTCAAAGGCAAGTTTAACCTGCTCGTTGTCCAGTTGCCAGCTTTGGTATGCGCACCGGAGGTCGATGACAACTCCGGAAGTTCCCTCATTCCATATGCGCGTAGGCCACGTGGTGACGTCGAATGCGCAGAAACCGCGGTCCTCTTCCATAGGTGATTGGGCTTCCAGGGGAGAAGTGCGGGAAGGCAACGGCGTGGAGGGGTGGAAATGTGGTCTCCCAACATTGTCGTGAGAGGGTCTGTAAGCCGCCGAACTGTGTCGGGCCGCGCTGCTAGGCACGCCTCCAGCCATCAAGATATCCGTTCGATGCGGTAGTGTAGACACGCCACCGTTGGCAACGTGTCGAGTAGCGGGGGCCTCGTCCCGCCCCGCCGTCTCCGCATCCCGCGCGGGTTGTTGTGCGTTTTGGCGTGCCTCCCGTTCCTGGAATTGGCCGGTGAGCCTTCCCAAGTTGAATTCGCGCTCCCGTAATTGGGCGTGAGCGTCCTCCAATTGCCGTTGTAGTTCTAGGACCTGGTTGCCGGCCCCGGCGATATTGGATTCCCTCACCGATAGGTTAATATGCGCTTCCTCAACCTGCGAGTTAAGCTGATCATTCCGATTCTGCACGTCCGCGACGGCGTTAGCGTAATCAAAATTCAGGCGCTCCTTTCAGCAGTGATGAGCCCTTGTTGGTGCCCCAACTCCCGGGCTGCCCCCATAGCGGGCAGGAGCGCTTGTGTCTCAAAATTAGGGATCTGAGTCGCCCGTAGATTCGCAATATTTCCAATAAGAGTAGAATCCTGCCATGCTTTAGAGATGGGTCCATGGAACAAGCATAAGCCTGTCGATGATGCGGCCACCGTTAACGTCTCGTCCGACATCTGGTTACCATCAATGAACGTCATCTGCACCTGAGTCTCGCCACATTGGCACACCATGTCCCAGAGACGGGCGCCAATATCACACCACTCGGAGGGTGTGTAGGGAACCAAAGCCATTTCCTTAAACTTACCTGGCTGTGTGTCTGTAAAAAATAAAAACAAAAAATTATCTGGCCTCTACCGGCTCCCTGCCCCTACAAAGTCGCGTTCTTCCCAAAAGATTCATACGGTAGAAAAGTATCATAAAGAATGTCTGCATTTATCAGGATGTAAACATACATTAATTAAGTTAGCCAGCTCTCCCGCGATCATTCTTTTCACAAGCTTCTATAAAAAAAAGCAACAGGAAATTTAGAAAGAAAACAGAAGAAAATTGAGAGTCCAGAAGAACTCCCGGGAGGCGGAAAAAAAAAAAAAGAAACATCTCTCAGCAAAAGTTTTCGTTTCACGTGTCCCAAAACACAGGGGAATGGGTGTAGGCGTACATTGCTCGCACACAAATAATTAATTAAACATGAGAAAAGATCGCATTCCTCCACCAGCCCACACAACATTCCTCACATTCCATGCGGCATCCGGCCTACTCCTTCACGCCTCGTTTCTGCAGTCCGTGGGACGCACAGCAATGAGGCCGGCACCGCGTGTGGGTGGCAGAAGCAAACAAAAGAGGGAAATCGTCATTCACGACAGTGTACAGCAACCAGACAGTGGAAAAAAAAACATAGCAAAAACATTTCCTAAATTGAGGTGGAGGATTTGCCCACAGGGCGTCAGGCAGAATAGACACACACATACAGGGGACGAGTCGCACCTTTCATCATTCGTGTGTGGCTGCTCCGCACCGCTGCCCAGCGGCACATGCAAGGGCGGTCAGCAGCAGCAGCAGTGGTGTGTGCACCCACGCAGTGGCGATGGCGCTGCTGTCCGACGTGCCGGGACCCTGCGCTCCAGTGGTGGCACTGTTGTTGGCCTCCTTCGTATATGTCGGTTTGCCGGACTGTGAGGCAGCACCGGCCGTGGCTGCACCGGAGGACTCACCATTGCCGCTGGCGGGAGTGGCTGAGGGTGTTTGCGTCGTCCCGGATGCATCCGTTCTGCCAACCCCTTCGCCTGTTGGCAGCTGCGAAGTGTTACCGGCTTTTGGGTCCGCTGGGGATATCCCCTGCTCAATAGTCTGTGCCGATGATGAGGTCCCACTCGCAGCTGAACTCGAACTGCCTGCCGCCTGCCCCGCTGCGGGTGCCTCCACTCCTGTCACTTGTGCTGTCGACGCCGCTGCAGCGGCCACTGGAGTTCCACTGTTGACGCCCTCAGGTGCCTTTTCAACAGAAGTCTTTAACTGACAGACGCCTGAGGTGCTACCCACAGCAGCATCAGTTTCTGTTTTCTTTTCCGGCCACTTCTTGTACACACCACTGGCGTTAGTCGTCGAATATTCCATTGTAAACGCGGTTTTATCCTCTCCGGCGGACTTGCAGGATTCATTACATTTTGCAGCAAAGTACATCTGTTCGGCCGAGAGGCAGGGTGACTCATCAACACGACTAGAAGCCCCACTTGTAGAATCCAAAAGAACAACTTCAACATATTCAGCATCATCAGTGTAAGATGCATCATATGGTGTATCCACAGTGTATTCTCCGGTGTCCTCATCACCACTGCTCGCGACAACAGTGTAGTCATGAGCACCCAGTGAGCTTGAACACTTATTCCATTCTGACTGGCCAGGGAAGCGCCATTGCAACATATTGTTACTGTCCGCACACGAGATCTCCACCGACACTTTCACGGCAGACGCTCCGGAATACAACTCAGTTGATTGTACAGCAGCCCCCGTCGCAGCCGCAGCCGTCACGAAAATGGAAGCGCAGCAGCACAACAGCGCGAGGGACAACAGGGCGCACACTTCACGGCGCAGCGCAGTCGTCGTCATCACAGTAGTCATCATCCTTCCTAGTGTTGCTGGGGTCAGTCCGCTGATCTGCACACGGAGTGGGGAAGTGAAAGACAGAACGGGAGAGAGGGAGAGAGGCGCAGTATGGACATAAGCAAAAAGAGGGCACACAGTATGGCAAGAAGCAGCTTCAGCCAACACAGTTCACGGAATGCGAGACCGCACCCACCCACACACCAGTCACGCGAGGAAGTCGGTTCTCAGTCATCCATAAATGGGCGCCAAAATTCCACTGCGATCCCACACTCAACGGCATGCGGCGCCTCACTCCAACCGACCGTACGGAGCGCATTGCAGCTGCAGGGAGCAAAACGGCATGACACTTCCCTCGTGTCTCTCTCTCCTTCATGGCCAAGGAAAAATGCAGCAGCCACACTCAACTGCCAGCCCCGAAAACAAAAAAATCTTCCACGTGCACTCTGGTGTACATGACGTGTGCGCGAAGCCGTAGCTGCCTGCGGACACGCACAAACGGAAGGAGTGGGAAAAGAGAAGACCGCCACGACTCAAGGTGAGACTGCAGGCTGTCAGAGGGTCAAAAAAGTCAAGAGGGCCGCCTCCCGTCGGTAATCGCTGCATCACTTGCTTGCGGACAAGGTGTCGTGCGCAATTGGTGTGGCTCACTGTGACGCATCCACCCTCGCAGCCCCAGAGGGCGGAACAGCTACCGCCAACCCAAACCGCTGCCAACACGTCATCGCCACAATCGTGAAGAGCCGGCTGGCATCACACACTCAAGAAAGGGACACCAAAACACGCCATGCAACAAAGGGCACATCGAGTCCGCAAACAGTGCGCGGCATTCCAACACCGCAGGGACCCTCCCTTGCCCTCCTCTGCCGCGCACCGCAACATGCATCCCCATGGCCCTCCCGCACGCACCATCCTCCTCCTTCCTTATGTTCGGCCCACTGCCGCCACATCCAACCCCTGTACCTCGCAGTATCAGTGGAGAACACACAACAGATGAAACAGCAACAGCAACCTCGCCGCCTGTTGCACTAGCGATGGAGGTCCATCGCGCAAGAAATGGAGAAGAACTCAACGTGCATTTTGGCGGCACCGTGTATAATCTTCTCAGTGTGCAAATGCCTCCTTTCTTCCGTCAAGGGGTGCTCGGCTTTACAAGTCATTGTGTTCCCCAAGACGTTGTAGCACTCATCCCCATCCCTTCCCTCTTCGCAGTACTTTCCCTTTTTCGTGTTCTTCTCCAGATCCTCCGTTAAAACCTCGATGCGGTTCGGCTCCCAGCCACTGCTGTCATTCTGTGTGGCGACGGTGTACGCCTGCAACGCGCCCCGCCTCCTCACCGTGTCAAATCCACGGCGAAGCTCCAGAGCGGGTGCAGCAACAATACGCCCCGCTGTCGCAGTACACCAGCAGCAACACCACCAGTGGGAGAAGCGGCGTGGCGTGGCTGGCGAATGGCCTGAGCAAATCGCATTTATTGGTTTCGTGTGAGTAGCAGCAGCAGCAGCAGCAGTGCAGCCTGACTGCGGGAGGAGAGAGACAAAGGAAAAAAAGGTGGAATAAGAAGGAAATGGCTTCGTGCCAGTTATGCGTCAGAATGCGGCACAAAAAGCGGAGTAGCAGGAGAACACAGAGACAGCCATACACACCGCGTGCGCACCGATTACTTTGTACCGCTCGTCTCTTAAATGGTGCAGGGGGTGGGAATTCTCCTTTATTTCCCCTCCCCTTTCCACCCCCAAAAGATAAAAATTCGGAGAAAAAGGGGTGTGCCGGAATTGTCTTTTCTTCATGCTCTAAACGAAGTCCTTTGTGTTTTATTTGGAAAGATACGCCATTTGATTCATACCTCCTGGTAAGGACTTCTTTTTCTCCCGTTGGCGCAACGTCTCATCCGCCCCTTAACCACGCTGATCCGCGCTTCTCCGCAGGCCGCTGTTTCGGACATTGTTAACCCAAAGTTGATCCATTACCCCTCCTACAGCCGCAAACTGCAATTTTTCCATCTCGGGGTCTTTCACTTTGGATTTCGTGATGGTGTGAAACATTTAATGACCCCATTCGTAGCCCCTGCGGAGGCAATTCAGCTCCGCTAGATCATCGAGCTCATCCCGGCAACGGCGACTCGCCAACACGTCTATGCACAAGAACATCATTTCGCCGAAACGCGTTTTGCAGTAAATTCACACGGTGCGCCACAAAACCGCCGCTTTATTGAATTTGGAAGCGACATTTTTATGAGCTGGTCTCGTTATCATTTGAGCCGTTTACTTTCCTTCGTCATGAAGTGAACCGCCGTCCTCGCCACGACGGCATGTCTCTTACCGTTGACCATGCGCCGAAGTAAAGTTGTGCTACATATTCCCAGAAACGGGACACCACAATGAGAGGTGGCAGTTTGGCTCACCGCACCACCCGACATCCCCCACACTTCAGAAAAGATTGATCCAACGCCCACACACAAGTAAACAAACAAACAAAAAAACACACATAAATCATATTTTGTCCTAACCGAACTCGTAGTGAACAGAGGAAGCGGCAGTCTTTTTTGGGACTTCACATCCGCCGGACAACTCCGCATTAAGAGCGGCAGCGACGGAAAAAGCAGTAAAAAAAAAATAATAATAATAAAAAGCGCCCACCAATTCAACACACACCCTCTGACAAAAACAATAATCCAACAATCGTCAAGGAAACGGGGCAGTTAATTAATGCACTTTATCATCTGCTCAGCCTCATCGTGACGCACATTCTTCCCACATGTTTCTGGGAAAAAAGCTGAATCAAATAATAGAATGTAAATATGTTATTTTTCCGTTATCATCATCTCCCTCAACCTAAAAATAAAAAATTCCCCAGTGAATCTACAACAAGTGCCTTCTATATATATATATATTTTTTTTTGTGTTTGTTTACATGTACCCTTTGTTACCATTCAATGCGTCTCCTTCTCTCTCCTTCCCCCCTTCTCGTTTTTGTTCATTAGTTCCCTTTATATATATATATATATATATATATATATATGTACTTTCCATCTTCTTTTATTCTCCTCCCCACACATCCTAATTTATGTTTCTTTTTTCCCCCCTCTCCATTCTTTTTTTTTTTTTTACTTTTTTTTTGTGCGTGTTTTCATGGGCTGTTTGCATCCCATACTCCTCTCTCCCTTCCCCTGGTTGGTTTTGTTACCGCCGGCATGGGCATCCCGTATTCCTCGTACATTCCCCTCCTCCCCATTCCCCCTTTTCAACAACAACAAGAGAAGAAGTAATAAACACATAAACAAAAAAACACAAGTCATGACATTGCGCCATGTAATTTGTACGAGACAAAACTTCCTCCCCCTCCACGTCACAACTCCCTTTGCTGTCGTTGGTGTTGCCTTGCCTGTCCCCTCGCAACTGTTAATGACTCCTCCGGTGACGACAACAACGGCCTGCCCTTTTTTTTTTTTTTCTTTCTTTTGTGTTTTCTTCCCTTTTGCTGCCGCCGTTCCCTCTTTTTTTTTTTTTTTTTTACTAGAACCGCTGGGAAGATATTATTATTATTATTATTATTATTATTGTTATTATTGTTATTGTTATTTTGCATCCACTCTCTTTTTACGTGTTTTCTTTCTATTGTGTTCGAAGCCACAATTGCGTTCTTCAACCCCACTTTGACCTCCGCGTTTCATCCCAATTCCATCAAAAGGAGAACATGTCCTCTGCGGTGTAGCCGAGTTTTTCCAGGTTTGGCTTCACGGCTTTTTGGAGCATCGGTGGTGGGCCGCACATCAGCGCAACGACACGGTTGTAGTCGGAATTCCGGGGCTGCAGCACAGGAACATGTGCCCGCAACGTCGCCTCATCCACGTAACCGGTGCCGTACTTCCATTGAGGAGAAGTCTCGCGGTCCAGCATGTACCACAACTTCATGCGTGGATCCTTGGCACAGTCATCCAGTTCCTTCCGCAGGAGAATATCATCCTCGGTCTGATTCGCGTAGACAAGAAAAATATTTGTGCGATCCTCCTTATTTTTCATTATGGCACGAATCAGTTGCATCATCGGTGTTATACCCGTCCCTCCCGCCACCATTGTGAAGGCGTCCGTGTGCATCTTCTTCAATTTGCCCTTCCCGTCCTTAACAGTGTAATTGCCTTTCCCCAGGTACTCAAAGTTTCCTACAGGACCCCGTATTTCCACCATCGTGCCCAGTGGAAGATCGTACAGGTGCTGCGATAGACGGCCACCGTTGGGAAAATTGGGATGCACGTTCTTGAAGTATACTTTAATGAGGAAATCCACATGTCCCAAGTCATCATCGGAGGAAACAGGAGTGTAGGCATGTTGCACCATCTCTGGCTTTCCATCTGGGTTAGTGGTCATGCATCGAATGTGAAGATGTTGTCCGATAGGAAGTCCAAGTCGCTGTGTGGGCGAGTGGAGTGCAAAGCGAAAGATAAAACTGTTGTGACTCACAGTAATTTTATCCACAAGCTTAAAGTTCTGAAATTTAGACGCATCCAAGGCCACTCCCATGGAAGAGGAGAAAAACACACCCTTCTTAAAGAACAGAAATACCGTGAGTACAATAATGACCGCAGCAACCACGTACGTGAGCATCGCCAAAACAAAAAAACAAAACAGACAAATATATCTGTCTATAAATAAAAATAAAAAAATATAAATATGAATAATTCAACGACAGGTATCTCTCACCCAACCTTTCCTTCTTGCAAGAGAGAGAGAGAGAGAAAATTAAAAAAAAAAGTACTGTCCTCCGTACTACTCCTTTCCATCTGATAGGAGCAGCACCACACAAACATTACAAACACACAGACTGCATGTGTCATCTGAAAGATGAGGTCCGTGTTTGATAAGAGGGAGGGTGGAGTCGTACAAAGCCACGGAGCGGTACAAACAAAAAAAAAAGGAGGGAGGGAAACAAAATAAAACACACAAGCACAGTTACCCCACAATGAGGGAAAGAACTCGCTTGGCAGAGAAATGGCATGCATGAATATCTCTCCCTCTCTCTCC